GATATCAAATGAGGAAGACTTACCACAATGTGCAAGGCATCCACTTGACCCGAACTTCATTTCTTCCCTTTTAAAATTAAATGAATATCAGAGTTAAGCATAATGTTGTTTTTTATTTTCAAAATGATTTAAAGGCTCATGGGATGATGCATAAATGCACTGCATTCCTACCTTATTGTTTCTCCATCTCAGAATATTTTCAACAGGAAACACACCATTGTATGCATCATGAGAACAATCTAGAGGAAAAACATCACTCAGAATTTTCTAATATAACAGGATGATCTGCACAACAATAACACTAATCCAATACTGAATCCAGTCACTTATTTTATGTTGTTCAATGAACATTTTTCCATTTTTGTAATATTACCTGACATCTTCCGCTTTCTAGGAGGAGAACGGAGTCCTGACTCATCACTTGAACTGGCATGTTTTCCGTTATCTGTTACTTTTTCATTTTCATGCACAGCTGGTGACTCTGATCCATTTGCATCCTCACTAACCTGAATTTGGCATGAGGTGGTGGACATGACAGCATAGACTTTTCTGACACTTGACTGTCCAACACTGGACTCCGACAGGGCTCCTGGCCTTGAGTCCAGGCTTTCCGCCACACTTTGGGGTGATAGTTGTGTCTCGCTGGTCTCAGGTACGTTCACCACCGTGGATTCTGCACTGCGTTTGCTTGCAGATCCAGGACTTGTATCTGCTGCAGCCATATTCTGTGCTTCACTCAAAAGATCCTGTTTTGAATATATATATTTATCAATATAAAAGCCGGTCAACGTTGTAGCTTATTTTGCCCACTAAGGAGTCTGTCTGGCCAACAGGTAAATCCAGTTTCACAATAGCAGATTTTCAGTTGTCTTCTTCATTTACATATGCAATAAAAGATCACAACAATCAGGCAGCATTTCACAGTAGTGGGTGTTAAAAGACCCAGCGACACCTTACTGAGTTAATGGCCCTGCTGACTTTCCAACAATGTTTGGCATAGTGATAATGTAATCAAGCACCATTTGCCTATTTACACGAGTAATGAAATAAGAAAGTTGAGGCAGAGCAGTTTGTCTGTCCTGTTTTGAAGAGTTATTTTGCAAGAGAGAGCTTTTTGAGGACAAAGCAGCCTCCAGCTGGGAGTCTGAGATTCTTTGGAGACGAACCTCAAACCTCTTAGCCTTAATATCCTTGGGAACAATAAGGTTGGTGTGGATCCGTTTGTGCATGGTTAAAGCACACGGAGTGGCAAACATTTGTTCACACTGACTGCATCTGACCTGAGGTTGAACTTCCTGACTGTGTGCAGTGAACCCCTGAAGAGTCGTGAACATCTGCCCACACCTGTTGCAATTCTGAGGCATTGGGCAATTGTGACTCTTGAAGAGGAGGTCTGTTTTAAACCTTCTCTCACATTTACGACAGATATACACACTAGGGACCTGGTGCAGGGCTCTGGAGGGGCTAGACTGGAGGTCGCACTCGTCCGATGAACAACACAGACAGTGCCTCTGCATGCTGAGGTGCTGTCGGTCTCGAAGACCACGAGCAACACTTACATCATTAGCGTGCTTTGGCGTTTTGATTAATTTCCTTTTTTTCATCACCTCTGATTTTGGGTTTTTTGTTAATATGTCCACACTTGTAGATGGTCCATTTTCAGTGATTTTAGATGTGGTCTGTGATATGGTCTTGCTTGATGATTTCCGCCCTCTCACTCGTGGCACATTGGTGGGACAAACAATTTTCTGTTTTACCACATGCTGTGTGCATTTCGTCTCTTGGCATTTGGTCTTATGGCTGTTTTCAGCAATAGCACAGATCTTCTGAACCTTTCGGCCTAATGATTCAACACACAAAAAAGTGTGAATTAGTATTGTTAAAACTCAGTAAAAGCACATCAGAATAAATGTATTTTACTTCAGCACAACAACAGTGATGATGAAAAATATTAGTATTATTTATATATTATTATAGTATATTTTTTATATTTTTAATTAGTTTTTATTTTCAGTTTTCATTTAAAGTTTTAACCATTTTTATGTGCTTTTGCCATTTTTATTAGTTTTAGTTTGTTTTATACATTTGTATTTAACTTGTTTTAGTAATTTTAGTACTTCAACTTAAACATTTCATTTTCATTTAGTTTAAGATTTTCTATTAATATTCATATTTATTTCAGCTGTATTTCAATTAAGAACTATTTGAAATAGTTTTACCCCAGATTATGTGAGAAATATCACAGCAAAATGTTTTTAAAAATACCACTGAAATAACAATAAAGTGTTGTCACTTTAATTCTGTATCATCTTAGTGATTCATATGGTCAGTGAGAACAAACTCTAGTAACTTTAACAGTTTAACAGTTTATCATATTTCCAGTTTTTTTATATATAATCTTTATTTTTATTTTGTAGTGGTACTTCCCTGAGATTTATGTCTATTGCTATTTATTACCATGAAAAATTATCTAAAAATAGTAGTACCTGGTGTGCCTGACTGTGTCGTCTCTGTTTCTGAGACATTCTTTGCTCTTTTTTCAGGCCCCTGTAATACACAAAACATGGCGATTAATATTAACGAAACAGCACAAATGATTCTATAGAAGACAATACATTTTCAACAGAGCGTCAGTAAAATGACAGATTGGCTATGATGACCAACTGGAAACAAGTTCAATTACTGCTATTCATTTTAAATTATTTAACAAAAAGTTGTACTTCTGTATTTTTGTGGTAAACAGCACAGAAATAACAACACTGATTCTTGTTGAAAACAAGTGAAAGCAATGACCACAGAACACATGCCCACTCACCACCGCCTGTGGCGTGACAGTGTCAGAGCTCTGTACATCAGGCTGGGAATTCACATGTGACACTTCCACCTCGTCATCTTCTCTTTTGAATTCGCTCCTCTGAGCCCTAATGATGGCCTCTGTCTTTTGCTGCTCACATTCCTCCAACTGCTGCTTCAACAAGTCGATCTCCCTCCAGCTCCGGGTGATCTCCATTCTGGTCTCCAGCAGCACTTTGCTGAATATTTTGACTATCTCTGAGGTTGCTTTCACCATGAGCCCTTGAATCAGGACCCTGAACTTAGCCGATAAAGCATCCTCCACTTCCATTGTGGGTCGCTGGTGGTGGATTTCTTACACGGAAAGGGCAGGCTTACTGCCAGCGGCCAAAGCCTTCTTATTGAGTCAAGTTGAAAAACAGCCGTCCAATTTCAGGTTACCTTTCAAAAGAGGAGACATATTAAGATGTAGAAGTGAAAATGTTCATGATCCGTTACAACTAAGTTATGCTTCTTAGTCACCGAAACTCATGTTAGTTGATTAGATTTCGAGATTGTTTCTGTGAACTGCTGAGTTTAGTGTTATTTTATATCATCTGGCTGCCTACTTTATGACATTCTTGGAAGCATCAAACAAATCATTCACATTCATGTTTTGCACAATATGCCACTTTTTACGAAATGGTAAAATGTGTATGAATTCAGAGTTTTAATAGAGTACCACTATAAATGGTAGCTATTATTCCTAATATCCATCATTAGCAGTAGCTACGTTTTTAGGAAAACCTAACATTAAGTGAAAATTATATTTAATAAATAACATTAAATACAGTTTTTAAAAACCTAGCAAAAGTCTATGTATTATGTTTAGGTGCTTCTGATTCTTTCAAAACGTATGAACATTTATTAAAAATACGGACAAACCCAGCATTTATGTCAGTGAACAAATGACTTCAGGATGGTTACTGATCATCTATTTGTCACCACGTACAAGCAGAAAATCTTAAGATGTTTACAAAATACATGTATTTTGTGGCCACTTTAAGATTTTGCAGCAACCATTTTTTTTTAACTTACCTGGTTTAAACGGTTGATAGTTATTAACAATACCCACTTTGAAATCAAAATTGGGAAAGAAAGAAAGAAAACTTTTTATGGCAAGCTGACTGTGGCGGTTTCAACAGGACATGACCATAGACTGTATAAAAACAGGACATGACCCGTGATGCCTGTGGGGAAAAAAACGTGGATGGGGGGCATTTCTCTCGTTTAAAGGGACATGTCTGCTAAAGCAAGCAGGCTAAGGACGAAAACTGATTTCTCCCCAAAAAAGCGTGCATAAAAAAAGATTTGTTCTGGTCTAATATGCCCCGCTTTCTGTAAACTAACCAAGATAAAATGGTCACGTTGGTTTCATAAATAACCTGCACTGTTAAATTAACGTACTAGAAAAGCTACTCCTCACCTCATAAATAGTCTGAAGCGGGAATCATTTAATGATGGCGCCTGTGCAAATTCTGGAAACGAGAACCACTAGTATAACACATAGCCTATACACTCAAATGTAAACAAATATTTCATAAAAGAGAAGCTTACCTTCGATGAAATATCAATTTTGTCCGTTTGGGACAAGGGCTCTGAATCCCTCAGTCGCTGTGGGGAGTGTGAAGCGTCACCGCATAACGGGCCGACGGGAAACAAATATCAGCGGGACCGTATCCCACAACATTGCAGACAAACTGCATTTTTAGCTGTAGTATTGGTGGCATGTGTCGTAACAAACCTTCTTGTTCATGTAGACAAACATAGAAACAGTAAACAAACCCATTTGTTTTGAGCAGGAAATTTGGTGAACGTGTATAAAACTATTTTCATGCATTTATTTACATAGTCAAGTATTTGTCCATCCGTGTTTCATGCTCTTCATACTTATAATTGAAGCTCGTAATTTACATGTAATGATCCTTAAACCAGACATCAAAACTTAAACTTAAAAATGCAGCCCATCTACTTTAAGATTCTATTATTTTAATCTCGCTTTCTCCTCAATCCTTTCTTCAAACCCACCCCATGTCCTTCCCACACATGAAGAGCTCCCATGAATGTTACAAAGTCTGCCTGACTATATTCCTTAAAAAAAGAAAACTGCACACACACACACACACACACACAAACAGCAGAGGACAATGTCACACATAACTATATTTTATTCACAACTTTACATTTTAAACATCACCTCTTTGAAGTTGTACAAGATATCGCTGGCCCATAGGTAAGAGATTTCTCTCCACAGCAGTTTCCTGCAGGAGAAAAGAACATCTTAAAAAGATGTTTCACATCATTTTAAAGTTCAGCATTTGAAACTGGAAATTGTGAGGCTTCACAATAAACTGAGATATGGCCTAAACACAAAAAGCTGTTAAAAGCTTAAATAACAAATACACTAAAGTGTAGGAGCACCACCCTGTTTTGTCTGCAGTCTATAGATTTTCCAGTAATATATGGCAAAGCTGAATTTTCAGCAGCCATTACTCCAGTCTTCAGTGTCACAATATTCTTCAAAAATCATTCTAATATGATAATTTGGTGCTTAAGAAATATGTATTATAAATGTTTTAAACATGCTTTTTGTGGAAACTGATACATTTATAAATATCTTTACTGTCACTTTTGATCAAATTAATGTGTCCTTACTGAATAAAAGTATTACTTTCCTTCAAAAATAAACAACTAATTAAATAAATGAACATTTTAGTGACCCCTAACTTTCACTTTTGAACCAGATTTTCGATCTTTTTATTTATCTATTTATTTTTTGGTGTCGCCCCTCTTCCGAGCACAACAGAACAACTCTTCTCGCTGCAGACTGTGGTATAATGAAGTAGCTATGCTTTTAATATATGCACAAACACATTTAAAAATATATTTTTTTGTTTTTTTGTAGAGGATCCTATTTTCAAGTACTGTTTGCAGTTATATATGTCAAGCTTTATTTTGACATATATTTTGTTTTATATTTTAACTCCAGGAGACTGTTCTCACATTACATATGCTACATGTGTCTGTTTTACTTGTATTACTCATATGGAGAGGAAAAACTAAACTGCAGGACAGGGAATTTAAGAAGTCCATGGTTAAGACCATTTCAAAAGTTGAACTATTAATATCATGTGGTATCTCCGTAGTGGTAAAATGAAAAATTATTTTAGATAATGTAGATATTTTAGCCCTTACACAGCACTTCACAGTTCTGAAAGAAGCAGCACAGATACACTCTTAGTAAATGTTTATTTCCATAACATAGTTTCATAATCCACCAAATACTACAGTTCTGAGTGTTACCTGTAGCTAACAGGGAACTAAATATATGAACTAGTGAATCAACAGTATCAGTACTAAAAAAACAAAACAAATAAATACACTACTCATGTTCAGGACTTTCCTCAAATGAGCAGGTTCCTTCAAATTCCTCTTCAGCATTGAACTTCTGCTTGCATTTTGTGAGATGTGTTTTTAACTGGCCTCTTCGAAGAACAGTGGCAGGACAGTAGCAGCAATGAAAATGTGCATATTCTCTGCATTTTAAGTTACACTTGACAATACTGAAATCTGAAAAAAGTTTTAAAAAAAAGATTTTAAAAAAAGAGTGAATTAACATGCCTTGACAAAAGAACATCTTCATGAATTAGGAAGCACTATACACACCATCCTGCTGGACAGCCAACTTCAGATGATTCTGGACGTGGTTAACAACGCTCCCTAACTCTCTTGGCGTGTAGACCCAGGTCTCACAAAATGGGCAGTGATACTTGTCACAACACTGAGTGCACTTAGAGATACAGGGGCTTTCTCCATTTTTAAGGACAGTAATATGCGTCTAAAAAGGATATTTACAATCAAACAATGATTAACATCTTTAACATCAACATTTTGAATATTAAAATTCGCTAACAATTTGTTATAATCAAGATTTCAGCTTATTTAATCAGAGAAAGATATTATAATATAATAAGAATTATATTTTTTCAGTATGAAGTTTGCCTTGACAACTTTTAAAATCTATTATAAATATTCTTACATTTGCAATATAGGGGTTATGAGGACCCAGCATGATGTTAGGAAAACAATAAGTCAATTCCAAAAGGGCTAATGTAAAATGCAAGTGTCATTAAAATACACGAACAATATAACAACAACACAAATTGTGCTCATTCACTTACTGTTTCACTTGTTGGTGTTGAGTCCATCCTTGTCATGGAGTATGATAACAAATAATCCTCATTATTATGCTCGTGCATTAAAGACATCCAGTGTGTCACCAAAATCTCCTATTATGCATTCGCATTAAAAACATCCCCTATGCCGGCTAAATTATTATGTAGTCTAGTGGATTAGATTAACTACGTCATCGTGCTACAGTCTGCAGCAAAACCCTCTTCTAACAGATAGGCAATGCAATAATGCTGACCATATTTAATTGAAACATGATTGAATTGTCCTTTTGCTTGTGTTTTTTTTTTTTTTTTTAATAATGTGTAGTTCAGTGTAAAAACTCATGGAATTACACAATTTCATTCAATTAAATTCATGGAAAATGTGAGCAGCTCACACAGAAAGAATATAAATCCAAGGTATTGCTTAATCCAATTTAATGGATTATCAGTGCCTCCAATTTGATACAAAGTTACACAGATCAATTTAAAGAGGTCATATGATGCAATTTCATGTTTTCCTTTGTCTTCGGAGAGTTAAAAGCTGTTCGTGCATACAGAAGATCTGTAAAAAGTCACAAAGATTGAAGTCTCAAACCCAAAGAGATATTCTTTATAAAAGTGAACGCTCATCCGCTCCTTCCTAAAATGCCTCGTTCAAACACGCCCCCAAATATCTACGTCAGAGTGTGGGAAGATTTGCACAACACCGCCCAAATGTATATGCAAAGAAAGAAGCCGTGACTTTTATTCTCGCTGTAGTATTGTTGCCGTCGCTAACAAACTACTTTGTTTGGCCTTCCAAAAAAGGACACAACTAGAAATCAGTGGTTAAGTTGTATTTACAACACTGTTCCAGAACAGTAGCCGCCGGTGTTCCAGTGAATTCAGTTCCCCTGTTTCCCCTTCGGCGCGCATGCTGACCCTA